GCTTGCCAGGGAAGCGCTTATTCCACTGAGCCATCTCCCCGGCCCCGGCCCTGAGGATCCTATGACATGAATGTAGGTGAACGTACATTTTTATCGCCTAGCCAAAGATACTAACAGAAATGTTATTTTCAAATGACGACATTTCAGATGTGGGGTTTTTTTTTTTTGGTTGCATTCTGAGACAAGGTCTCACTCTGTGGTTCAGGCTGGCCTGAGACTTTCTACATAGGCCAGGGCTGGCCTCAAATTTCAATCCTCCTGTCTCAACCTCCCAACTATTGGTATTACAGGTGTGTGCCATCATCCCTAGGTTTGGAGAGAAAAACAAAGAAGAATAAAATATATTTTAATTGCTTGGCCTTGTATATATAAAGATTATTTTTGTCTTTAACTTTTTTTTTTTAAAGACAGGGTCTTGTGTATCTTAGGTTAGTTTTTTTCCCCATAGTTTTACTGATAAACAAATAGCAATGAGACAGTTTCAAATCAAATTGGTAGGACAGTTTCAATAATTAACACCTTGCATACATTCTTCCTAGTTCTTAGGCTAGTTTTTAACTCATTAAGTAACCCAGGCTGGCCTTGAACCTAATGTGATTCTCCTGCCTCAGCTCCCAAGTGCTTGGATAACAGGCACTTGGGAGGCATAACTGGCATGCACCACCAAGTCCATCTATCAAGTATCTTATGCCAACAGTCTGTGGGTTTCTTTGGTCTGAGACAGGTCTCATTACGTAGTTTAGGCTGGCCTCGAACTTGTGGTGATCCTCTTGACTCAACCTCTGGAGTGATCAGATTACAGGCATATGCCACCAGGCCCTGCATGAATAATCTTATTTTTTAAAAATTCTCAAATTTACCAATGTAGTGTAAAAACAATGTCAAATAAAAGCATGCCCTTTATGCTGTTTCATTAGTGGTAACATGTCACAAGTAAACATTTTAAGATTATACTGCTTTCAGAAAAATTCAAAATTGCAGATTTTAATCAAGTGCTTTAATTTACTCTTACCTTTTCTATTGGAAATTGCTGGTCTTGTTCCCAAATAAAATTGCCAATTTTTCTTCTTATATCTGTAGTGGGAAAAACAAATCCAATACTATTTTTTAACTAACTTTTGAATTTTGCATGAAATTTGAAATTTCTAGGCCGCCTTATCCCATCTACATCAAAGTTCCCTAAGATTGTTGTTAAAAATACAGATTCCTATAAATCAGATGATTGGGGAGCAGCTCAAGAATTTCCATTTCTGACAAACTCCTGACAATCCTAACATATTATACTCACTGTCTGACCTTTTTAGAACTTTTCAGGTGTGTCTTTTTTTTTTTTTTTTTCTTTTATAGTACTAGAGATTGAACCCAGGGCCTTGTGCATGCTAGGCAAGGGCTCTACCACTGAGCTACATTACCAACCTTTATTTTTTTGAGACAAGGTCTCACTAATGAGCCCAGGCTGGTGTTGAATTTACAAACATCTTGATATGAGTGTCTGTATTAGGCCAAGTATTAATAAAGAGGATAGTTGCCCAGTCAAAATAAAAAGTATAAAACTGATCAATTTGTAGAGCAGAGATACTTAGGAATTAATTTACTTTTCTAAAAATAGATAAGCAATATGTAGGTAAGCAGGAACTCTGTAATACTCAGCATGTCAAATAAGTCATCTTGCTCAGTGATTTCAGAAACTTCCAGAGCATGCCATCTGAGGACAAAAAGAGTAACATTATTCTAGATTTTTGCTGTCCAGTACAGTATCACCTAGCTAAATGTGGGAACTGGGCACTACAATGCATAGCTAGTTGAGATGTACTATAAGGGCAAAACAAACACGGAGTTGAAAGGCTTAGTATCACAAAAATGTAAAATGTCTCAATTTTATATTGACTATATAGTGAAACAATGTTCTGGATATATTAGGATAAATAAGATATATTCTAAAATTAACTTTAGCTGGGTGCAGTGACAAACCTGTAACCCCAAATACTAGGAGGCTGAGGCAGGACTACACATTGTAGCCTAGCCTAAGCCACTTAGAAAGAAGCTGTCTCGAAATTTACAAAAAAAGGCTGGTGGTCACAGCACTCCTGGGTTCAATCCCCAGTACCATAAAAAGAAAAAATAATTTCCCGTGTAAGTAGATAAATACATACACTTTTTTAGTGTATGTGCTACTGAAGTGAGCACATACTTTTATTTTCTTAAGCATGTTCCATTTTTAAAAATTTAAATACATGGTAACAGCTGAGTGTGGCGGCACAAACCTGTGAACCCAGCACTGAGGAGTCTGAGGCTCTGCAAAGATCTCTTCTTGAAGATCTCCACAAGTTTAAGGCCAGCTGGGGCTTTGTAGTGAGTTTAAGCCCAGCTCGGACTACATAGCAAGACCATGTCTCAACAAAACAAAACAATAAAATGGCAAAGGGGGGGGGGCAGGGAGAAGCAAGACTGAAGATGTGTTATGTAAATAGACCAACTCTCAATCGTGAACATCATTGTGTACTGCAGACATGTAGTAGTAAAAAATTTTTTAAAACTCAGACAGAAATGACAATTGAGCTGAGGATATAGCTCAGCAGCACAGCATCTGCCTGGCAATCTCAAGGCCCTAAGTTAAATTCCCGGTATCAAAAACAAAAAAGACAACTGAAAAATCAGATTGAATGGCTATAGTGGCTAGTCTATAATATGAGCTTCTTGAAAGTGGATACTAATCATTACAAATACTTTCTGAGTAAATGAATTATCTTGTCATTTATTTGCATAAGGATTTAGAACAATTTAGCATTGTAAGTTACATCTAGATCTTTTGGGGACATCAACTACAAAAGAAACTATTTGGGGTTTATAAAGGCTCCTCCATGAAAATATTTTCAAGGTGTTTGGTGTTTTGTCTATTTTGATAGCTTTTTTGTGTTTGTTTTAATAGACAGGATTTCACCACATAGCCCAGGCTGGCTTTGAACTTGTGATCCTCCTGCCATAGCCTCCCCAGCCCTGAGATTACAGGCATGCTCTATTCTGCCAGCTGGCTTTTAATACTCCCCTCACTAGGGATCAGTCCATGACTTCAATCTGTCTTCTCTGAGATGGACACATAACCATTGGGTAAACAAGGCATATATCAAGCTTTAGGTAATAATGTGGGTCTTACCACTGGAATATTTCAAGTTAGTTCAGAACAGATACGACTTGGTCAGGTGAATAGGGTAAGAAAGGAAAGTAAGCTGGAGGCAATAGCACACACCTGTGATCCTAGCACTCAGGAGGCTGAGGCAGGATTGATGTGAGTTTGGGACCAGCCTGAGCTACATAGTGAGTTCAAGACCAGCCTAAACTGGATAGTGAGAGCCTGTCGGCCCTTTAAACTTAACAGGATTGTAAAATAAATGTGAATGTACTTCAAAAAGTATTAAGAAAATTACAAGCCAGGAAAACTGGTGCACCTATAATCCCAGCACTCTGGGAGGTAGAAGCAGGAGGACGGCAAGTTTAAGCTCAGCTTAAACAACTTAAGAGACTTAGAAAAACTTGTCTCAAAAGGATAAAGGGGCTGAACACGAAGCTCAGAGCAAAGGCCCTGGATTCAATCCCAAGTACCACCAAAACCAACCTTTAAAGAAAGATCCAGAAAAGTAATGAAGAGACTAAAAAACAGCAAATATATTAAATGCTCATGTCATAAGCCTTAATACACTATATCATTTTATCCTCAGGAACACTGTGGAAGAAATTTAATAACTTGCTAAAGACAGGAAACCAGTAGGCATTGGTCTTAGCCGAGGAGCTCTTGGAGGGCAAGATCTGCATTGGTCTTAACTGTGGATGCCCTAGAGCCTGGCTTGGAACCTGGACTGCAGAGCTCCGTGACTGTGAAAAAACTAAAGCCAACATACCCACACAGGCAAACTGATCCCATGCCCACACTTCTCCCCTTGTATTACATGGTACAAAACTCAAAATTTTCTGATTGGGAACAAGGAGAGTAAAAGTGAACTTGGCTGCCTAACAGGGGACGAGCCAGACTTGGTAAACAGGTATTAATTGAATGATCTTTGCTAACCTTTATGCAGGCAAGCAGGAGGCAGAATAAAATGGCCTAAAGCCACTGAGTTTTTTATTTCAGCATTAGCTACTGCAGAGAGATAGCAGGCATGAAAAACTGTAGCATTGTCTTCAATGTAATCAAGGCTCTGATAAATCCTAGGAGAAAGAAAATCTTTTAGGTTATGAGATAAACAACATATTTAACTTTTTTGAAAGGAAGAACAGTGCTCACTTTGACAGCACATATACTAAAATGGAAAGGAAAAACAAATGACAGGAAGTACAGCACTCGTATTAGGCAAGTCTCAGCTTTAGAGACTTTGCAAATCCCTACATAAATTGAGAAATTTTATCTGAAACAGTGTGGTTACCTGAATATCACCAAGGTATTATCAGCAGCCTATGAGTTTTACCCATAGTCATCATTATAAGAGGATCAATTAATTCTGAGGCAGGAGGAAAGCATGTACTCAGGGATACCTATACAGAGAGAAAACAGCTCTCCTAGTCCTGGCAAAAAGTGAGGGTGGTAGAGCCAGAGAAAAAGAATTACAGGAAGGAAAAGATGATGGAGAAGGTGAAGGGGGGGTGGAGAAAAGGAGAAGAGGACAAAAAAGAAAGGAGGAAGATGATGGAGGAGGAAAGGGGAGAGGAGGAAGAAAGAAGGAAAGAGAAAGAAAGAAGGAATGAAGAGGAAGAGGGATAAAAACGACAAAGAAGACAGGTGTGGGGCGCACGCATATAATCCCAGCACTCTGGATGTTGAGGCAGGATTGTTGGAAGTTCGAGAACCGCCTGGGCTACAACGTGAGCTCAAAGCCAGTCTGAACCACACAGCAAGACCCTGTCTCCAAAAGACATTAACAACAAGGGGGGGGAGGGGGCTGCTAAGAAAGAAGAAAATTAGACAGGTACAGCGCTAACAGGGCTATGGAAGACTTGAAGAGCTCAGTCTGTGGGCAGTCAGGAGGGGAAGGAGAAAGCATGCTGGGCACTGTGTGCATTTCACAATCTGACAGCAGCTGGAAGGGAGATGGAAGAAGGAAGGTTCCAGACACAGGAATCCGTTAGGAAGTTAAGGTGACAGCCGAGGATGGGAATCAAGGCGCTGGTAGCACAGTGGCGATAAGGATGAAGGAGGATCTCGCCAGAGGCTAACAGAGACCGTCGTTTGGCAGAGGCCAGGAAGGTGTGGGGTTTGGAGAGCACGGGGTCTGACCAGGTGTGGGCTGATGGCACATCTGAAGATCCTGAAAACAGGGTTCAGGCACTGTGAGGGGTCTTCAATGTGCCACGGCGAGACGGGGGCCTGCCGGAAACAGGTCGGCGGGCTCAGGGCAGAGCGCAGACCCGGTGGAAAGCATGCGGGACACGGGTTGGAGAGCACGCGAGGAAAGGCGACCGTCGTCGCCCACACTGGCAGCGGAGATCTCCCCCCCCAGCCCCCCTCCACCGTAAGGATTTGTTAGCGGCCTGCAGCGCCATCCTCAGCTCCCGCTCACGTGGGCGAAACCACAGCCTCGACCTCCGTACCTCAGCGTGTCAGGGTGGGAGGCGTCGCAGCTGAACAGGAAGTCAGCGACAGCCGGGTCGCTGACCGTCCCTCCTTCCGTCACTGTGGAGGCAAAAGCACAGCGTGAGCCTGCAGCAACCTGGCACCGCCCCCTTCTCCAGGCTCTTCGGCGGGCTTCCTACCCCAGAACTGCCTGAGGTCCTGGCTGACGCTGCCACAGAACCACCCGCGATGCCCTCGAAACATGGCGCCGCCTGGCCCGAGGACCGGAAGTAGCGCGGGAGTCGCGGTCGCTGATTGGTCCGTGGTTCAGGCCTAGCTCAGTGATTGGCTAAGAGCAAAAGGCCCGGAAGGCCTAAGGCAGGCAGAAGAGGCCTGGTGCAGTGATACCCAGCTGAGGTGCGAATGGCAGAGGAGGTTGCTCGCCCGCTGTGGTGAGTCAGAGTACTCAAAGTTACTGCGCAGGGGCCGGGGAGATGGCTCAGTAGAATAAGCGCTTGCCTGGAAAGCTCAAGGGCTGAGTTTAATCCCCAGTTCTGAAAAAAAAAAAAAAAAAAAAAAAAAAGTTACTGCGCAGTGTTGTGCAGCCACAGGAGCCAGTCCTGCAGCATCGAAACTCATTATCATTTCTTTTTTGTTATTATCATTTCATTGATAAAATTTCACTTTGAATCTCCAAAAGATGAGGGCCTTTTTACGTATTTACTCCTTCCTCTTGAGATGTCATTTTTTATTACTTGGTTCAAAGGTTTTCAGGTTTCCAGTATGAATTTTTTGATTCATGAGATTTGAATTTTTTTATTTTTTTAAAGTTTATTTGGCTATAGGGTCTCACTATGCAGGTCAGACTCGTAGTCATCCTCCTGTTTCAGCCTCCCCAGCACTGGCATTACAGGCGTGTTGCCAGTCTTGGTTGCCAGCTCAGCGCACCCGGGGCAGGGCTGGCACAGCATGTGGTACCAGGGATCAAACCCGGGTCCTCATGCTTGCCTAGTCAGGCATTTAGATTGCTGAGTTATCTCCGTGGCCCAAGATTTGAAATATCTTTATATTTCCAAATACATACAATTTGTTAGTTACATTATTCATTTCTTGCTTATTTGGGGGTTTTTGTTTTGTTTTTGCAGAACTGGACCAGGGATTGAACTCGAGACCTTGCATTTGCCAGGCAGAGACTTATACCACTGCGCTATATCCCTGGCCCCTGATTCCTTGTTTAAATGTATCAAACAAAGAATATGGTGTGGTTAGAATCCTTTAGAACTTGACATTTTTCTTTATAGCTGGTCAGTTTATTGTCAGTATTATATGTATGTTTAAAAATGTTGGGAAGCTGTTGGATGTTCTGGGGTTTTGAATGCACTGTTAAGCAGATTCTCATTGGGCTTGTTAATCATATTGCTAAACATGTTTTCTGATTCTCCATCAATTACTGAGAAAGCCATGTAGTAATTTTTTACCTTAATTATTGATTTATCAAAAACTTCTTGTACGCCTGTTAATTTTTTCCTTATATATTTCAAAGTTATATTGTTAGGTGGATGTCAGTGTACACTTGTCATTCATGTATAGTTGACTGAATCCATAAGGATTTAAAGAAATATGAAAGGCAAAACTTTAAAACATATAGACCACAAGAGAATAGCTTTCTTGG